CTAGTCTACCAAAGAGAACTGGGAAGACAGACAGCTAGGAAAAGATCTACTGGGTTCAAAACAAACACTGAAGATTAGCCTAAAAAATCCATCTACAAAGGGGCCAAAATTTAATTTGCTTTGACTGTTAAAGCAATGTATGCTCCGGAGAACTGTTAATAACAAAAGAACAGTCACTAGCAGTTAGTAAAGGCTATCACATCTGAGTGTGACACCAACAGAAGCAGAGATTTTAACAGCTATATATAAATGAAAGAGACAACTGGAAACAACTCTACTAAAATCACTGTCATCCCAGTATAACTGTGCCCATGTCCAAGGTTGTACCCTCTCATGTGTGACATCAAGCACACTGCAAGAAATATAAAACTTCATTGAAATAGCCCAGCCAAGGCATTAAACAAGCAAACAATAACCACAAGGAGAGGAAGTGTCCAGAGATGCTGCAATGTCCAGCCTCTTATACGCAAATTATGACATGCAGATAAACAGAAGTAATTCATACACAGGGTAAAAAAGCAGTCAACAGAAACTGCCTGTATAAGAGCCAACGTGTTATGTTAGACTTAATAAAGACCTCAAAGCAGTTATTAAAAATATGTTCAATAATTTAAGGAAACTATGATCAAAGAAGTAAAGAAAGGTATGATGACAATGTCTTATCTTTAAAAAAGAGATAAGAAAAAAGATATTATGTAGTTGACAAGTAAAATGAACTGAAAAAGTCAAAAGAGGGACTCGAGAGTGTATCTGAACCAGGAGAACAAGGAGAATGCAAATTTGATGACAGACTGATAGGGTTATGCAATTCAGAGAAAAACTGATAAGGAAATATGAACAAAGCATCAGGAAAAATGTGTAGGACACTATTAAGTGAATCAACATATGTGTAATGGGAATATGAAGAAAAGAGAAAGGGAAAGGAACAGAAAAATACTTCAGGAAATAATGGCCAAAAACCTATGAAATTGAAGAAAAACACTACATACATCCAAGAAGCTCAATTAACACCAAGTAGGGAAAGCAAAGGGATTCATGCTCAAAAACATCACAGTACAAAATGTTGGATGCCAATGACAAAGAGAGACTCTTGAAAGCAGCAAGAGAAAAGTGCCTTGTCACAACTAACTTCTTATCAGAAATAATGCTAGCCAGAAAGATGTGGGAAGACATATTCAAAATGATGAAAGAAAAAAACATCGAGGAATTTGAGTCCAGCCCAGCCAACATGGTAAAACTCTGTCTCTACTGAAAATACAAAATTTAGCTGAGCATGGTAGCAGGCGCCTGTAATCTCAGCTACTCTAGAGGCTGGGGCAGGAGAATCGCTTGAAGCTAGGAGGTGGAGGTTGCAATGAGCCAAGATCACACCACTGCACTATAGCCTGGGTGACAGAGCAAGACTCCGTCTCATAAAAAA